TGAGGAGCACCCGGAGGCTCCAGCTAGTCCAAAATGCGGCCGCGTGGGCGGTGTTGGGAGGGACTCGTCGCTCCCATGTAACACCGCTGCTGCGCGAGCTGCATTGGCTGCCGGTGGCCTTCCGGGTGCGCTTCAAGGTGCTGACCATCATCTTTAAAGCGCTCCATGGCATCGGACCTGGATATCTTCGAGACCGCCTTCTGCCGCAGATTACCTCCCATCGGCCTGTACGCTCCCACAGAGTGGGTCTCCTTAGGGTGCCGTCGGCCAGACAGTGCCGGCTGGCGACCCCAAGGGGGAGGGCCTTCTCTGTGGGAGCTCCCACCCTCTGGAATGAACTACCCCCAGAGATCAGGGTGATCCCTGATCTCCCTTCCTTCCGCCGCGCCCTTAAGACATGGTTATTCCAGCTTGCAGGACTGGCCTAGGGGAAAATTTTTAATGGGGGTTTTAAGGTAATTTTAAATTAACTAGACCAATTATTAATATTTGTTTTTAATTATGTTTTAATCTGTAGTTTTGGGATTTGCATTTTTATCTGGTTGTTAGCCGCCCTGAGTCCGCAAGGAGAAGGGCGGGATATAAATATAAACAATAAATAAATAAATAAATAAAAAAGATACAAAGAAGTTAACAGAAAAGAAATGTTAACAGTATTGTAAGAGAAATGGAAATAAAAATGAATTGTGTAAAGGAAAAAAATGTTGAGTTTGCAAACAAATCAGGGAAAGGATTGGCATATAAATTACGGAAAGGAAAGGAAAGGAAAGGAAAGGAGAAACTAATATTGAAATTACAAGAGAGAGATACCCTATTAATGGATATCCCATTAATATAAATGCTAAACAAAAATATTTCATCAATATTATTTCAACAATATTATTTCAACTTGTATAAAAGAAATAACATTTCTTTGGAAAAAATAAATGAATATTTAAAGAAATAAAATTTATTGAGGGTTACAGAGAAATAGAGACAGATCGTGAATGGACCTATAATTATAAGGAAAGTTTCTGAAGCTATAAGAAATATTAAACCAAGTAAGGCGGAAGGACCAGATGCATTATTAGGCTCTTATTAGAAATGTTCTGAGGATGAACTTTTACAAGTTTTATAAAAGGCAATGACATAATCTTACAGGGACAAAACATGCTAGAGAGTTGAAAAGTGCCAGTATAGCACTAATGCTTAAAGAGGGACAAGATCTGATTTTAACAAGAAACGATAAGACTATTGTTATTGAATAATGACAGCAAGTTGTGATTCTAGCTTATAGACTGAAAATAATTTTGCAAGAATTTATGCCTGTGGATCAGTGTGGCTTCTTACCTAAAAAGTTAGTTAAAGGACAATCTTAGAAATGTGCTGAACATTTTGGAATATTTGGAGCAACATAATGAAAAACAAAGCTATGTTGATCTTCTTGCATGCGGAGGCGGCCTTGGACATTTTGAATTGGGCTTTCTTGTTCAAAATTTGCAAGATACGGATTTTGGAGAGAATTTTATAAAATGGGTAAAATCAATTTACACTTCACGGAAAGCACAAATCATAAAAAAATGAACATGACAGGGATGCCCACTGTCTCCTCTCTCCTTTATTTTGGTTCTTGAAATACTGAACAGAGTTATAAAACAAGATGAGAGGATTGTGGGAGTAAAGATTAAAAAAAAAGCTTATAAGTTAAATTTTGCAGATGATTTTATGTTTGTTTTGGAAGATCCCTTAAAGGGAATTAAAACATTAGTGGGCAAATTCAAATAATTGTATGCATTAGCAGGTTTCAAGATTACAAGACAAACATGTTAACAAAAATAATAAAATGGAAAATCAAACAGAACTGATGAATAAAGCAGGTTTTAAAACCGAGAAGAATGTAAAATATCTGGGTTATCACCATGACAAATCAAACTGTGTTGTTTCAAAACAACTACATTATGGAATTAAGTTTAAAAAGACACGTTAACACCACAAAAACTACAACTGCCATTGCTGGGGAGAATTTCTGTGGTAGAAATAAATGTCTTAACTAGAATGGTATTCTTGTTTCAGAAAATATCTGTTTTGAAAACCAATGTACCATTTAAACAGTGGCAGAAGGATATATCTAAACTTGTGTGGCAGGGCAAAAAAACCCCACAAGTTAAATATAAGGTGTTAGAAGATGTAAAGGAAAGAGGAAGATTGGGCCTACTTGACTTGAAACTGTATCTTGCAGCTTGCTGTTTGGTTTGGATGAAAGAGTGGGTGCTATTGAGAAATAGAAGGACATGACCTGAAATTTGAGTGGCATGGATACTTGTCGTACGACAAAGTCAAGGTTAATGTGGATTTTAAAAATGGGATAGATACAAACTGAGGTAAAACACTTTTGTGGCTCTCATCACAAGACACATTTTATATGAAAAATATAATAGGCAAACATGAATGGCCAACTTACTGTGAGTTACTAGATTTTTTTCAATGGGGGGTATAAAATAAAATCAAGAGAAGAATTGGTGGCAGAGGGATCTAGTTGCTAATGGTTTTCCTATCTAGCCATGCTGGCTCAGGAATTCTGGGAGTTGAGGTCCACGAGTCATAAAAGAGCCAAGGTTGCCTACCCCTGTGACCTATCTACAGTTATTAGAAAAATTTAAAGTGGACCAAAGAATTTATGGTTTTGAACATTTTATGACTGAATTTGAAATAGAATTGTGTACAAATGATGAACATGTAATTGCTAAACATATTTTATTGAAATTTGAAACAGAAGAGCAAGTGGAAAAATGTATGGACTAAAATGTTGGTTATAATATACAGTATAGCTGGAACAGTGGGGAAAAATGTGGTTGAAAGGACTGAAATTTACATTGTTACAATCTTAAAGAGAATGTTTATAAAATGATTTACTACTAATATACATGAGAGAATTTGTCCAGAATGTGTAAAGGCACTTCATGTTTCTATTGGAAATGTGAACACCAAGAAGGGGCATTTTATCCTATTTGGTGGAGGTTTAAAAATAACTAGAAAAACTTGGATTCAAATACACACTCTGATTCAGAGGATTTTAAAGATTAATATAACATTGAGACCAAAAGGGGTTTTTTTTGGGGGGGGGGGGTGTTTGATAGAAAAAAGTCATAGAACTTTGTTTTTGTATATGACAATTGCAGTGAGATTATTATACGCACAAAGATGGGATGATTTGGCATCACCCACAATGGAGGAATGGTTGGTGAAGATGACAAAACTTGCTGAGATGGCTAAATTGACTTCTTCATTCAGGGAAAAGACAGTATCGATGTTTATTGCTGACTGAAAACCCCTTATGGACTTAGGGCAGGGGTAGGCAACCTTGGCTCTTTTATGACTCGTGGACTTCAACTCCCAGAATTCCTGAGCCAGTGCTGGCTCAGGAATTCTGGGAGTTGAAGTCCACGAGTCATAAAAGAGCCAAGGTTGCCTACCCCTGACTTAGGGTAAACTTAGGGTTTTATGGTTTTGATGATTAGATAGGGTAGATTATAAAAAGAAGAGAATTACATTGTAACCATAGAATACGGGGTAAATTTACAATTGTACTTAAAACTGCTTTGTAAAGAAAATCAGAAGCCATTTCTTTGGCGCTAAGTACTTCTGACATTCAGAGAACAATCAGTCAAATTACACGTACACCCACACATGTTTAAATCACAGTATCTCAACAAGCACTCTGCCACACTTATCAACTCCCTACCCATTTCCTTTCCTGGCATAGCATCAAAGCAGAAACTGAATTATCTGTCTAGGTGTTAACCAGTGGGAGGAGACAATGAATGCAGATACATGTCACATGTAGGAAATTGGGGAGACAAGAAAAACCCACTTAGCCAGAAATATGGACAGGTACAGACCTTCTGCAGAAAAAAATATATAGCAAAGTATCTTCTGTATGAGATGTTTTACTACAATAACCTCACTACAATAAAGATATTTTTCAGGACTCAGTAATCTGTGAGAGAGGAACTAAACTGTTTATGTTACTACATACTATATACACCTACTTGGAGTATTTCCTATAAGAATGAACAAAGTAGGGCTGAGACTATTGTGAATGGGGGAAAAGTAGAGCCATACTTGACCCTCTCACCCATTCACGTTCATCCACTTGCTCCTGCTAGTACAGCCATGCAAAAAGGACTACAAAAGGTACTAGCCTATTGCACCTCTGTGCTAGACACAGAGAGGAACACAGTACTAACTCAGTATGCATGTAATTCTTTCTCATCTGAGTTTACTTGATTAGCACTCAAAGAGAATGGTAGATCCCAAGAGTTGGACTACAACTAATATCAATCCCAACTTCAAGGAAGAAAAGATTACTGTAAAGAAGGGTCCCAGCAAGTTTCTTTTTAACCTCTACTTCTTCCTTGTTGGCCCTTCCTTCTGCTCATTCCAATAAACTACCTGTGCTTTACACAGGTACATTACAAATTACATTTCCATTAGAAATTGAAAAAACAAAGATAGGTGAAAAGATTTTAAGGAAAAGTTGAAAGAGTTGGCTACCTTTAGTATCTTAAAGAAGGAAATTTTAAAGGTTCCCATTGCCATTTTCAAGTATTTAAATGGCTATCCTGTAGTAAATGGAGCAATTTATTTCCAGTAGCCCCACAAGGTAAAGAATCAAATCAATCGATTCAAACAGCAAGGAGGGGGGGGAAATAGACTAAATATTATTGTGCAAGAACTGGACAATGAAAGAGACCCCTTTGAAGGCACTAGTCTTTTCTTCTTAAGGGGTTTTCTTTAAGGAGAGGTAGATTAGGGTAGATTATATGAATTTGAGCTCCGTCTGAGCTGAAGGCATGTACAGGGGCATTCGGTATACATGCACAATCCTAATCCATCTTTTGCTGCATGTTCAGTTCTATTTTTGTAACCCTTATCTTCCCAGCCCCAGACTTGGTTGTTTGCTTACCCCAGTCTGAGCCATGCCAAAAGGCCCGGGATTCATCCCGAGAAAGAGCACCTCCTTCTGGGAATGGCAATATTTACGTACATAGTCCTGATGGGGCTCCCAGGCATAATCCAAAGGGTTATAAACATACTGGACAGGATCAAGAAAGCTGAGAGCGTTCAGGCGGACTATCTGCTCTCGCTCAATGTGAAGAAACTGTTCAGCCAGTCCACCTTCTTCCAGAAAGTTCACGGGAGCCTCCCAGGAGTTCATTGGTGCTGGTCCACCTGGCACAGGAGAAAAGCAGCATCAGTTCCCGAGATGTATGTATGTATATAAATATACCTCTCTCTTTGAGGGAGACTGGGTGGTTCAGAAATGTGATAGATAGACAGATAGGCAAACAGACAGACGGTTAGATGGATGTAAATGATGATGTTATCCATTCAGTCCTGTCCGATTCTGGGTGATTCTATCGACCAGGTCTCTCCATATCTTGTGATCTTGCATAGATCAATCAATAGACAAACAGGCAGGCAGGCAGGCAGGCAGTCTGTGTATGCTAAGGTAAATCAGATATGAAGAAAGGAAAAAACCTGTTCATGAGTAAACCTAAGCCACACCTCATTCTCACTTTTGCTGTTTATTTCTGATGTTCTCCAACCTCCATACCTTAAACAGGGACTAGTTTATACATGTATAATGTCAACACTAACCGGGTTCCTGCTTAATTCATCTGCTGGCTGTAATTTTCCTTCTCCCCAAAATAAACGTGTAAACATTCTTTATACTAAAAGAGTGTGGAAAAAGCAAGACGGTGCACACAAAACGTCAACTCATTTTTCTCAGCATAATTTGAATGCAAATATTGCATTTGGACCTTAAGCTTGATTAAACCTCCTTAGAAGAAGCAGGATGCTAAGATAGTTGTGTTCACACAAGCCCACATGCTAATCATGGAAGACATGGCAGCGTAGACTGGTGCAAACCTTGGCCTGAAAAATATTTGTACTTTCTCAAGGAAAATGAATAAGGCACGGCAGACTTCAGATACAATTTTTATGGTGAACTTTTATTTTTTTCTTACCAGACTGATTCTTTTGCTGAAATGTCCGAAAGCATTTCTAATATCCCACTCTAATATTGCCTTTCTACAGCCAGCTTGTAGTGATAATGCAGCTTTTCTTACAGCCTTAGGAAGCACAGCTTGCTGAAATGAAAGAAAAAAAAAATCATAATGTAATTATGGAAACTATTTTGGTTCAGACACTTTAATCTATGCCCTAACTGAAAAATCTAAATTCACAAAAGCAATGTGGGTTACCCAGGAATTGCTAAACATGGGCTCTGATGATTTTGCTGTGATAAAAATGCTTTTTTTCCAAAGCCAGATAGATTATCAATTACAAAATTGAACATATTTTTCCTGCAAAATTCCAGTAGTTTGACATCCAAAAATTCAACAGGAGGCAGGTTCCCTCATAGCAGGAGAGCCTTCACCTGTTGAATTTCTGTTCACCATGTAGGCAGCAATTACCCGAGGGGAAAAAATTGGTTGCTTTCATTGGGCTTACATTCTCACTAAGACATCACAGAGACTGAGTGATACTAGGCCACTTTCCAACCATTTGAGGGTCTTGGCTATCCTACCAAAAAAAAAAAAAAATAGCAGCACTTGCAAAGCTGTTTAAGACCCAATGTCACTACAGGTAGTCCTTGACTTACAACCTCAACTGAGCCTCAAATTTTTGTTGCTAAGTGAGACATTTGTTAAGTGAATTTTGCCCCATTTTGCGACTTTTCTTGCCACAGCTGTTAAGTGAATCACTGCAGTTGTTACGTTAGTAACATGACTGTTAAGTGAGTCTGGCTCCCCCATTGACTTTGCTTGTCAGAAGGCCGCACAAGATGATCACGTGACCCCGGGACTCTACAACTGTCATAAATATGAACCAGTTGCCAAGCGCCTGAATTTTGATCACGTGACCCTGGGGATGCTGCAACGGTTGTAAGTGTGAAAAATAGTTATAAGTCACTTTTTTCAGTGCTGTTGTAACTCTGAACTGTGACTAAATGAACTGTTGTAAGTCTACCTGTACAGGCAGTCCTTGATTTACAGTCATTCATTTAGCAATCATTCGGAGTTACAATGGCACTGCAAAATGTGACTTACAACCGTTCCTTAAACTTACTGACCATCGCATCATCCCCACAGATATTGCAAACCGGCTTTGCTTAACAGGAGAAGCCAGATTTACTTCACTAATAACTGCATGCTTAACAACTGTGGCAAAAAAGGACTTAAAATTGTGTGCAACTCACTTAACAACCACATTACTTAGCAGTGGAAATTCTGGTCCCAGTTGAAATCTTAAGGTGAGGACTGTCTGTATTTTTAAAACGAAAATGAAAAAAAAAAATCCAGTGTTTAAGATTAGATCCTGCTTTGTGCACAAGGACCAGGCCAAACACCCTCCTAATTCCCCCCCCTTGCTTAGCTATATCTTAACCCATTCCCCCTTAATCACCACCACTCAGGGAGGGGTTCAAATTCTGCCCCCTTCCCTTCCTTTCAATCCATCAAAGCACCCCCTTCCTCATGTCACACCTTGATCCATGGCAGCTCGCTCTTAACGGCTTGATTTCTTCCACCGCTGAGCGGGTGGGCAATTTCTATCACAGCTCCACTTATAAGTGAACCAGGGAAGGCCTCCAAATATATTCCTCCACCGGGAACGTGCCTTTTATTGCCTTTTTTATTACCATAATTAGTAAAGCATTCACTCAAGATACAAAACATTACTGTAAATAACCTATAAAGGCTTGGTGCTGTGATTAAAGACAGACAGCCACCTCCCAACATGTGCTCACTTGCTGTCCTGAAAAAAGATAAAATAAAATTCAAGAGCCGCACTTCAACGGGAGAATATTTATTCAGCAAAGGCACTTCAGTGGCTGATTACTCAGAAGGTGCACTAAGTGGGGCATGGAGACGTCATGCCTCGGTCTTACCCTCCAAAATAACCTCAAATCTGAATTTAGAAAGATCTCATTTAGCATCTTAAGAGACTGGGCCTTCAATCTCTGAAAAGCAACTCAATCAGTCAATCTGAACTGAGCTGGAAGGGACCTTGGAGGTCTTCAAGCCTAACCCCCGCTCAAGCAGGAGACCCTGTACCATTTCAGACAGGTGGCTGTCCAATCTCCTCTTAAAAACCTCCAGTGATGAAGCACCCACAACTTCTGAAGGCAAGCTGTTCCACTGGTTAATTGTCCTCACTGTTAGGAAGTTTCTCCTTGATTCCAAGTTGCTTCTCTCCTTGGTTAGTTTCCATCCACTGTTTCTTGTCCTACCTTCTGGTGCCTTGGAAAATAAGTTGACTCCTTCCTCTTTGTGGCAGCCTCTCAAATACTGGAATACTTCTATTACATCACCTCTAGTCCTTCTTTTCTCTAGGCTAGCCATACCCAATTCTTGCAATGAATTGAAAACTCAGGAATATTGGCAATGACACAAACATAACTCATCTGACATAAAACTGTATTAAGCCTTAAATCCATGAATGCGTTTAGCCCCCTCTTGGAAGAGGTGCAAACTTCAGCAAAAGCTCCTTGGCACAGCACAGTTAGCCTGACAAAACAAGGATCAAAACTATTGAGAAAATTTAATTGTGTAAACTGTTTAATAAGGCACAGAAAGAGGTTCACAGCTCATCTAAAATTAGGCAAAAGGGCTGTCCTTACAAAGGAGCTCCAGTCAGGGGGCTACCATCAAAAAGATCCTCCCTCCCCATTTCCTCATGATTTTGAGATACAACAGGATCTAAAAGCAGATTATAAACTACAGAAGCAGTGTAGAGAAGTTGCAAGCCCCCATCCCTAAGTTTACTCTCACCACTGTCAGTTCCGGCATTCAAAAATTACATGTTTATTTTCTCTATGTAAGTGTAGTTATTATACATTTGATGCAGCACAGCCTCCTATATTAAGCACAGATCCATTCCGCCCTGTGATCTTTCTCTTCTGTGGCATTCTGTGACAGGTTCCTTTAAGACTCTGTCTGCAATTTTAGCACCACTCTGTTTTTTTAATTTCATACTCCAGTGTAACTATTGGAGATTTCTTTTTACATTCTTACTCCTCTTAATGTTCGGTTTTAATTGTAATCTGAAATAACAATTTGATTCTAACAAGAGGAGGGCTGACCACCTCTCTAGTCTTGTTACCAAGCTAGAGAATTTATTTACTTTTTCACATGTTTTTTCTATTTGCTAGTAAAGCAGCTAGGCTGTGGAATCTGGATGGGAAGGAGGCAGTGGTAGGATTCAAATATCTGAACAACCAGTTCTCTATGTGGATGCCGCTTCAGGAAGTCCATTCTGGGCCTGGGCAACAAAAAATTAGCTACCGGTTCTGCCGAACTGGTGCAAACTGGCTGAATCCCACCACTGGAAGGCCAGAGTGTGAACATTCAAAGGGCTTTTAGAAGTAGACATGTGAAAATTCCCATCTTCCAGGCTTGTCATTACAGACATGTTTGTATCAGAAGTATCAATATTTTGGATATAGTGACCGCACACCATTATTTATTTTTATGTTACAACCGGCAAGCTGAATTGGCCCCAGAAACAAAGGTGCAAACTCACTGTGCCAGATTGAAGCTTTGTGCACATGTAATCCGGGGTTTTATCAACAATCAAGAGGAAAAGAAACTTGTAGTTAATTCAGAAAGTTCTGCTGCAGTCTATGCTTTTCCATCGTGCACCATCACAGATATTTTCTATAGTTCAAAGATGGGAGGGAGAGAGAACAGTGAGTAGCCAGAATCAGTCTACTTTTTCCTGCCAAACGAAAATGGGGCCTCCGTCTCTTGGCCTATTTCAAACCCTCAAAAGAAACTTTGTCTCATAAAATGCTACGGCTGCTGAGAGATTTCACTACCCTGCCAATTGTACAGAGTGTAAATCTACGAAGCTCTGGACATTAACAGCCTGAGAACTCCATGCTCCCAAAGTACAAATTAACAACTTCCCATTTGGCCATCAGTGGCATCCCAGGGTGTGAGAGTGCTTAACAAGTGATTTGGGAGGAAAAAAAGTGAGGAAGTCAAGGGAATCCTACAAATCGTAATTTACAGACGGCAGTTCCTCAGCAGGCAGGCAGAACTATCCTAGCCATGAATGTCTAGGGTACAACTTTATTTGTCCTTCTGAAGAAAAAGTACTCTTAGAAAAACGTACACCCTCCGTCCGTGGGATGGAGATGGAATGCAGAATTGGAAAGAAACTGTGGCCATTTTGGCCATGTTGTATTGGGGAACTGAAACAAATGCCCTCCAAAGACTACTAAATATTACCAAAAGAGAATATAAACCTGTCAAAGCACCTTCTCTTTTTCATACTCACTAGAGAATTACATTCCACAAGGGATACACCCTCTTGAGAGAGTCCATTGTGTCAGGGGTTTGCTATGAGAAGGACCCTAATACAATTTCTGTTAATACTAGGCCTTAATTTTGGAATTAACTTCCTGTTTAGTTGTAATTGGTGCTGAGCCATGGAAGCTTCCAGGGGCAATTTGCCCAGCCCTACATTTCTGCTACTGTGCCATCTATTTGCTATTGATGTTTTTGTTCCATAGTTTTGTGCGATCGAATTTTAGCTGTTTTGTGTTTTTGAAGATGTGGGAATTGGGGAAGCAACGTACTACAAGATGGCAATTTTACGGAGGTTGCCGCAAAGTTATTTTATTGAAATGTGTTTTAATTCATGGCTTCCCTTGCTTTGGGATTGTTTTTAATAAGTGAAAAGTTGTATACCTTTGATAAATTAAACAAAAACCTTATTAGATGTAACACTATGCAAAATAATGTGCTCTGTGAGTTTCCATCAGTTGCTTCAATCAGGGGGGCTCCTGCCTGTTGATTTATTGTAGAATAACAAGATTATTTGAAGAAATCAACAAAGGATTCTGACGTAATATTTTCATAATGGGAACAATAAGAAATGGTTTTGTCTCCAAATGAAGCACAGCATGCTAACTAAGATGGCAGCTTCTTTTCATATATACAGATCAGGCCAATATTGTATACTGCTTGTGGGAACAATCAATAG